GTCTATTAAATTCACAAAATAATCATCATGGAAACTTAAATAATCCCTTTCACTTAAATAAATTATCATTTACTGTAGTCTATGAACATTTTTATGTATGTAACTATACTAAATTCAAGCTACTTATAGGCAATTTTCTGTGCTTATGCATTTATAAATTAACTACAACCAGGGCACCACAAGAGAGGTTATAATTTATTTTAATTTTTGAAATGTTGATAGTAATAGTTATTTATGGTAATTTTGTTATTTTAATCTGTGGGCCATTTATTGTTAAACCATTTATTACATCGAAATAGTGTATGGGACAACCATATCGTAAAGGTTGTATTTTATTTTAAGTTTTGTGTGGTGCCTCCTAAAATATTTAGTTCAGGGGCCCAAAATTTAATTGTGTTTGCCTGACTATAGCAAGCTTTAGGTTAATCTATCAAGGTTACCCCTGCTGACTTGAATTTTAAATTTGACAGTACTACACTGATTAATTTACTCGTTATAGGCATGTATATTGTATCTAAGTTTAATATTTTCATGAAAATGTCTCTAACGGGTAGGTACCTAGGGAGTGGGGAATTTGTAATTAGTTTCTTGGTGTGTTTTAAATAAAATACAATTGCCGATAAAACTATTTCCTTACTTAAGATATTTTTCTTATACATAATTTACTATATACACATATATATATATATGTTACGGTCAACGACAAAAATTGAACATTTATAAGTCATTAACCGATCATTAACGTTTGCTAGGTTAATTTCGTAAACTACCAGGCAATGACTTCAGTTTCCAAGATAATAAGTTATTGTTGAAAATTACAAAACAAAATAAAACAATTTTACCACAATGACCGAACATTAACGTTATAACCATTGGCTGTTGGTCAATTACGTAAATGACTGAAAATACATATTAATTTAATTAATTACAGACTATAGTTATTAATATTTGTCTTATTATTTTTTTTATTATTAATTAAATAATACATTTATTATTATTTATTTTTGCAAGACATGCTGCCAGTGGCGTAGCAAAGGTATGGCGAACTGTGCCTACGCCAGGGGCGAAAATTTGTGCTTTTAAATTGGTACTTATTTTTATTCTACCTTCAAAACAACATTTCTTTATTACCTATACGGCTATACATTTTGAAATGTGTATGATTTTGTTTATCTTTAATTCGTGTTTCGTGTGTGTGTTTGTGAACACTGAACATCGAGCTTATCGTTATCGGATCGCCCGTGGCCCGTCTATAAAGTATATTATTATATTATTAGTCGTCTATATATCAATAATCTTCTTATAAATATATTAAAAATAAATATTAATATATTAATATTATATTAAAAATTACTTAAGATCAACTATTGGACAAGAGAGACTAACAAGCATGGCAATTTTATCCATAGAACATGAATTTGCTAAACAAATTTCATATGACGAAATCATCAATGAATTCTCTAAAATAAGAAAAACAAGAAAAGAAAATTTTTAAAGTTTGAAATTTACATTATCATAAATATTCATAATAACTGATAGTTAAATAATATTGTATTACCTAATAATATATATAAAAAATAAATGTTAAAAAATATCATTCCGTATTTTCGTTAATTTTTTAATCGCTAAAAAGGCGCATTTTCCTAGGTTTGCCAGGGGCGCTAACGAGTCTTTCTACGCCACTGCATGCTGCTGTGAAATTTTGAGTTACACAATATTCCCGATAATTGACAAGTGCATTTGTTTGTTCTGCACTTAAGTTTACAATTGCAAATTTTGTAACCTTGTGATCCAGTGACACTACTAAAACCTGCAGCTTCTCTCAGCGTAATTTATTTTTCGGTATTTACAGATTCAAATTTTTTTTTTTCTCGATTCTGCGATCGAGTATACAAATGTTAAATAATGCCATACTCTGTACCTAATAAAAGATAATCATTAATTAATTCAAATAAATATATCTAAATTATTATCTTAATTAATATCTCGATAATTTGTTAGATAACCCACGGCTTATTTAACTTAGCCATCGGCTATGTGTTATTGTATTAATATTATTATGGTTTGCTCGAGTAACTATTGCTGATTATCGATGATATTAATAAATAATACATAGTACATACAAATGTAATAACGTGTGTGGATAGACAGTGGTGAAGCCAGAATTATGAAATGGGGGGGGGGGGGGGTGTTTAAGTATAGATTAAAACCAAGTTTTTACAGTTTTCGTATATAAATAAATTTAGGGATCGGTACTTGACTTGTTGCACTAAAAATTATCGAAATATGCAGTCAACATTTTCAAAATATGCTTAAATATACCTATGCAGCTACATTTTTATATTAGTTTTGAATAATTCATAATACATATTACATAATACAATTTTTGTAATAAAAAACTAAAAAAAACAAGTAGGTACATAAACATGATAAAAATAATTTAATCACGGGTAGGTATACAAATTTTAATATAGGTAGGTACCTATATAGGAACCTATATATTGATTAATATGATGGGCGGAGGACACAGCTATTGCATGTTTTGGACATTTTTAAAATATTGTGAAATAAAACTTGATTTTTAAAAATACTGGCATAAAATACTAGGTTAATAAATAAGTAATAACGAATAACGTGATATGCGAACCCCCTTGATAAACTAACACGTATCTACTGATTTTTATTTCAGATTTTAATCTAGAATCTAGATGTCAATTATAGTTTTAACACAGTCTTGTCACAAAGAGACTTATAAAATCTTACGTACCATGCGAAAATAGGATCCATGATATCCTCCCATATATTTACTAAAATTGTTTAAGCTTATTCAATTTTATAATAGTATGATTTTAGGCTTCGGCTCCCCCAAATCTCAAAACCAGCTCCTATTGTACCTAACCAAACATAATATTTTTAAAGATATTTCTCAATGTTATCCAAATATAATTTTTCTCCACAAGTGTATGTAAGTACCTACATTTAAGTTAAAAAAATTCAATATATGCACAATTATACGAAAAATCGCTCAAATGTAAACTTTTCCTACAATATGCAAAAATATGCAAATTCAAACATCGTTTGATAAGGCAAAAAAATTTCATAAGACAAATTTATAACTTATCTAAAATAACCTACTACGAGTACTACCACTACAATAAAACATGCAAGGAGTCCCGAACCCTATAAACAATATATTTATTGGGGGGGGAAATGTCAATGGGAGGGTGTTTAAACACCCAAACCCCCCCTGGCTACGCCACTGTGGATAGATAACTGACAGTGACATATAGGTATGTTATAAATGTATAAATATATGATTTACAACAATGTCCAACAGGAGTTGGGAATTGACGGGAATAATAAAATAATACTCGTGTTGACAACATTAACCATTATGTGCCACCACTTACGTAAATTACCGGTAGTTTACGTAAATTTGTATTGTACAAGGTCATTTAACTTAAATGTCATAATTTTCGTCATTGACCGTAACATATATATAGATTACCAATAATTATTGCTGTTCAGCTTCAACAATTATCAATTGGTTATTTTATAAATATTATAAATTATTATAAATATTTATACGTTTATATTATATTTTATCACGCTGCAAAATATTATCGGGTTCTTTCTAGATTTTTTTTTTTTTTTTGAGGCTGGGTTTATTATATAATATATATTCATTATTCAATGTTTAATTGATGTCCTGATAATTCTATATTTGTATTTTAACCCACAAATTGTAACAGGCATATAATTATTAAAATATACTCAGAAATTAAATGAATTGACGTGTTCAAAACCGCTTCCTTAAATACGCTGGGTCCCTACTTAAAATTGATCACCCTCAACATTCTCCCTAACCAGTCATTGATGTGTTAAATCTCTGTTCTATGGAGGACAGACAGCTAAGTTCTGATCATAGTTTTGTTATAAAATTAATTCATGGTAAAATTGAAGCACTACGTCTCCTTGAGCTTTTAAACTTGAGAGTTCCAATTTCAACCATCCATACTAGATCCACTGAGACCTTCACCTTCCTACTCTCCGTTCTAACTATTTATTAAATGATCCTTTAATTAGAACAATGCGCAGAAACATTTTATATAAACCTTATCGAAGTCGTCGTTAACAGCATTATTATTCTCACCAGTCAAGACTCACCACAGTTTAACGTAATAAAATATAATAAAAATATTTATTACTTAAAATTAATAGTTTTAAGCGTTCCATATATAATTTTATGTATAATGTCTAATGAATAAAATCCTAATTTGTTAAAGGGGGTGTTTTTTAACAGCCGTCAGGTGTAAGGGAACCGAGTCCTCCTGAGTCCCCCCCTACTTTAACCCCTGCCTGTAAGGTATTCATTTCTTTCACCGACATAACACCTTTGAAATTATTTTAAGTTAAATTCATCATTAAGACTTAATACTAAATTGTAGTATAGAAGCTGTAAAGACCAACAAAGTACCTACTGCTGTTAAAAAAATACTAAATTATTATAAATAATTTTAAATATAAATAAGCGTTGAAATAAATATCAAGCAATTATTTTTTATGTTCATTTATTGGTTCCTAGATTGTAAATTGAATGTGCATAAGTCCTGGCATAGGTACTTCAGTTATTTTTTCACTCTAATACTTTAGGTCAACGTTTCTCAACCTGGGGTACGCGTATCACTAGTGGTAAGTGGGGGGAGGAATACGATTCCACAAGTTTTTTTTTTTTTTGAACACGATTCCGCACACTTTATTGTTCATAGGAATACAATAGGAATTGGATGCAACGTTGTAAAATTTATTACAAACGGTTTATTATAAATAATATTATAAAAAAAATATAATAATTATTGTAAAAAATATATAATAAAAATAGTTATCCCTAGTAAATAGATATACCTAGTGAGCCGTCATTACAATTTAATAAAAAAATAGTTATCTCATATACCTATAGTGAGCCGTTATTACAAAACAAAAATATGATGTAAAATAATTTAATATAATTTTTTCCCTTGATACATAAAGCCAATAGATGTTAAATATTTTATAATATTTTTATGCGTTTTATAATTATTAAAATGTTCTATAACGTTACATATACGTTTTAAATCGGATGATCCCATTTTACTGTGCACGTTTCTAGCAATTGAATTGATTTTTGTCATAGTTTCGGCTTGTATTTCCATTAGTACAGATATTACTACATGCGTTGGTGGGTGAGCACTGTGAAATTCTCCGTTGTACATTTTATGAAAACTTTCTGCTCCGTTTGTGGTTCTAACAATACAATTATTTTCAGTATCCCTAAATAAAATGAATTATAAAAAATAAAATGTACTTTGTTACCTTGGACTAATTGAAGGTTCTACTTGCCCATAATTCAGGGGGGGAATAGACAACCAGATTCTATGTACGACTTAAGTATGTAATCAGAAAATATATACTTAACCATTTTCATTTGGACACGTACTCATGAGTTCTAAAAAACCTTCTTCAACCTTTTCCACTGGGAGAAACGGTAATCCAAAAAATGATATTAACCAAATGCCTAATTCATCTCCATCTATCAAATATGAAGTTCTTAAAATATTGTGTTCTTGTATCTAAATATCATATATAAAATTTTAAAATATAAAATATAAATATAAAAATTAAGTAACAATATTATTTAATTATTACCTTACGCCACCATGCCTGACCTAAATGGAATCTACATCCAATGATAGCTATTCCAAGAAACATAGTTTTTGCGGCTTCATGTGCAGCTTTTTCAAAATCCACATGTAATTTGTGGATACATAGTCTGGTGGATAAATATTCAAAACATATATGTTTTTTAAAAATGTCCACATTTGAATGTAAGTATCTTCACATTTATCGGGTAAAAAGAAGTATACAAGTGGTATATAATAACCATTTTTAAAACCATGGATTTTATAAAGTTGTAAAAAATACTTAGGAGCGTATTCAAATATGCCATCTATAAATATATCATCACACTGTGTGAGTTAATTAATATTTGTTCTCGTCGTAATACAAATGAAGTTATGATTTTCAGAAACATGAATAAACTTTTCGTTTTTAAATCTAAAGCGATTTTCGTTTTGCATTTCAATAAGTTGTGTAATAGCACTATTTAATGACTGTGGAAATGTTGGGTAATCTTTTGGACGTAAATTATACATACTTTTTTGAACAGATTTAATATAATTATGAGGCACTTCATAATCCGCTTTTAAAAGCTCAGTTCTTATAATTTTTGAAGGTCTTACTGAAATCGTGTCATTAGCTTTTCTTTTACAATTTTCTCGCAAAATTTGAAGCTGGATTTTTTCTACAGTATCTAATGTATGCTTGTGTTCTCCCAGTATTTTCAATAGAATTGTATGTTTTGAGTCTGTTAAAATACTTACAGTACATGTTTTATGTACGCATCTCCATTTCACTTTTCCGTCATGTCGAATATGCCGATATTTAGATACATGTATTTACCAACGCTAAATCGTTGCCCTTTTCAGATTTTATTACCTCCAATTGATTCTCCATGCCTATCAATATAAATTTTAACACTGTAAAAAATTCGTACACACGCGCTGAGTTTTAACTACACAGTTCTGACTAGACTAGTATACTTTACCATCGCCATACTGACAACACCAACCAACAACTATATTATGGGTAATTTTACAAAATAATCTCGTCATTATGAGATTATCGTTATAATGTTAGGTCGCATAACACATATTAATCAAATCATATAGACTCGGATCCTCGGTAAATTATGCTGGTTGACATATAGAACACAATATGTAATTTAATGTAAATTGTTATCTTTATCGACTTTATCAAAAGACCCGACTTATCTTATTTTCAATTAGTTTGAACTTGAAATGTCGTGGTAAATATGGAAAAGTTCAGGTCCCTAAATAATATGCACTAATTGTATCAATCTCATGTTACAAGAATAAACGTGCGGAATCGCTTTCGTTACATGGCGACGTCGCATTCGAATACAATACGGAGTTGGGTAGAAAAAAAAAGGTAATATAGAACAATGAACGTGCGGAATCGTGTTCTACCCGGTAAGTGAAAACCTCATAAATGATACTCTAAGAAAATTTACCGTTATAAAAAAAATGGAATGTATCAATATGTCAATAAATATTATTTGGTTTATTTGATATAAATAACAATTGTGCATGTTTAATTTCTTTTTTCCATTATATACTTATATTATGATAATATTGTAATTCCTAACAAAATTAATTTCCATACATGTGAGATAACGTATTAAATTTTAATAAACAAAAAAAAGAAGACGTTATTTGTTCAAGTGGTGATGAAAATTTTCAAATTGTGTAGGTGAGGTGGTACGCGTGTATAAAAAGATTGAGCTATTGTTGTAGTGACACATATCTACTACACACCTATATAAATTAATAAAAATAATAATTAATATTATAATAACAAAATAAATTGACTTGTTCACAATTATAATGGTCGATTGATCGGTCACGTCGATTGCCGACGTTGTTATGCAATGCGCAATGGCCAATGTTATCCCTATAATAGTATGCTGTCATATTTTATTAATTTTATTAGAAACATTACAATAGTTTGTGTAAAATATTGTGATTTACCTATGCACTATTGAATCAAAAATCGAAATACTGACCGGAGAATACAGGGCGTGGTTATAATCGGCCGGGGCCGGGCCTGGCTGTTGCTGCTGGACGAACGTTAAATTTGACCCAGCATGTAGGCTGCAAGTACGATGTTGTAATTTGTTTTCATATTTTTTAAACGATCGAACTTTTTTTTTTTATGGACCATGGTAATACACCACCTAATATAGTATTTGATTTATAATAAACTTTTTTACAGTAAATTACTTAAATTACTATTACGTACATAGAAATATGATTATACATTGTTTTCATTAATAGTATCATTCTATTATAATATATTACAAACTACTGTGCTAAAATATGTATATAATACCTATGTCCCTACCTAGCGATAAATTACGTAATGGTGTTGTTTCATGAAATATATCAAGGTATATATACCTTGTACCCCAACCAAATAAAGTCGACCATTTATAATTGAACTGGGTATATATTTTTCAACTGTATGTATACTGTACCAACAAAAACACTACGCCAAACTCCGTGTAAAAAAACGCTCAGTATAAAAAAAAACAACCTCAAAAAGTTGTGATATCATTTTATAGCTATACGTATTTAAACTATATAGGAATAGATATATTATTATAATTTATGTTAAAATTCACTGCTTATAAATTGAACTTAGCTGGTGACTTTAAAATGATAACACTTAATTTGTATCACTTATTTTCAAAGATACCTAACATGTATACTCAATACGAAATGAATTCTCATGAGTTTTAAATAATGTCACCAGCTAAGTTTAATTTATAAGCAGTGAATTTTAACATAAATTATAATAATATATCTATTCCTATATGGTTTAAATACATAGCTATAAAATGATATCACAACTTTTTGAGGTGGTTTTTTTTTATACTGAGTGTTTTTTTACACGGAATTTGGCGTAGTGTTTTTGTTGGGATATCACTAATTTTTTTTATGTTATTATTATTATTATTATTGTTGTTGTTGTAATCATTATTATTAAATATTATAATGTCATATATGTATTATTATATATTGAACATTTAAGGTTTTAATTATTTTTTTCCATTAATATAATGTAAATATCCTTCCCCCCCCCCCGAGGCCATCTTTCATACTTTATTTGAGTATCACTACACCTTACCCAATTATTTTGATGCCTTATTAAGTAGTTGCAGTTGATACTTGAAACATGCGTTTTTAAGAGTTTAACATATTTGGTGTACATTTTTATACTACTATTTCTTTGAATTAAAACCCATTTGATCATTTTTTTCAATAATGGTTCTAGTTTTCCCGAGAGGAAGATTAAAATTGGGTATTAATTTATTAGTCCACTTTTCAAGTGAACCTTTAAATGCAAACAAGACGTCATCATGCTTTTTACGTGTACCTGGTTGGGATTTATGAACAGCTCTATATATTTTTTGATAAGCGAGAGCTTCATCCCGACGATTTAAGTAGTTTTTTCGACGTTTATGTCTTATTTTTTTAAAAGAGTAACGAGTCATTCTCAAAATGTAATGTGTACGTATTTTGATACTGCAGTCAGTAGGTACCTACTCAGTTAATAACACACAGTTAAAATAATAATACAAAATTGTATGTATAAAATACATAAAATAATACACAGTTAAAATAACGTGTGAGTATTTGAGGTGATAATACGGCAGTCAATAGAACATAATATAACGCTGGACGTGCAAGACGGTCGACGCAAGAAAGAACAATATTGAATACGCGAGCCGTTACGTAGCCGCAAGCGTTGTGACAAACCAGTGGTCAGTGCGTGTGTGTATCCCCTCGGTGGGCGGAGAATGTGGCTCAGTGGCCGCAGTGAATATTATCGAATAACATTTTCTTTTTTACCATAAAAATTCATAATATATTTGGCTATAACTCCATTTATAATGTTCAGATCGGATTAAAAAGTGCAGCATTCTCTTCTACGGAACATTTCCAATAAAATTGGTGCATCGTCAAACTCTAAATTATTCTACAAGAAATTAGGTATGCATCAGTGGCGTACCCAGAATTCGTTAATGGGGGGGGGGGGTACCATATTTTATATACAATATAAAAAAAAAAAAAAATGTTTATACAATTGTATTCTTCTCATATTTAAAGACACATGCACAATACAATTTTTTAAAAATGTATATTTTATAGACTAAAAACACTAACCTATTAAGTTATAACTTAATATTAATTCGTCTCGATGATTTTGATAATTTTATTCATCTAGTACTGCGTCTGTTGAGATTTCAATATCCCGATGAATATTTAGCATTGCTAATCCATTTAAGCGAGATTCTCCGGTTGTATTTCGTAGATAGGTTTTGAGACGACGAAGAGTCGAAAAAGTCCTTTCCGGTGTGGTTGTCGTTACTGGTAGAGTAACAAGAATAACTAAAAGTTTTCGTATAATTGGAAATATTTTTTCATCACATACAAGTAAAGCTGAATGGGCATTTTTAAGATTGTCATTCATTTGGCTTACATAATTCCACCATAATCTGAGTTCTCCGATACTTTGTTGTTCACTGCAGTTAACGATTTTTTCATAACGACGTACTAAATGTACAATGTCAGTCTCAAATTGTTTTTTTAACTCTAAATTATTTATTTTTGATTTCAAGAGACAGTGAAAACTTGACAAAATTTGTTTATGATCTAACAAACGTCTTTGAATTTGGGTAATAAAAAAAATCTAAAAATGGAATGAATAATATATAATTAGCAATATCATTATCATTCATACTTAGTTTACTAACAGGGATTTTTTCTTTATTGTTTTCAACGGGTGTTACAGAATTTGAAGTATTAGATTCGTCTTCGTCTTCACTAGTTTCCTTTTTTTTTTTTTTAAAAGTAAATAAAAATATGAATTACTTTTAAAATAATAAATCAATAAATTACTATACATGGACAACTATTTTTTTTCGTGATTTCCGATGCTTCCTCTAATTATACCCGGCAGTTGTCGCGCGTTGTGAATGCCGATGCGTTCATTTTAAGGCGTTTTTTTTTTATACTTAGCGTGACTCTGCCGGGTCGTTGGATACGGTGGAAACTGAAAGTAGGTAATTATGATAAAATTAAATTTCTGCGACGTGTGACGTTTCAGGTGTCGTTTTCGTTACTAGATATGAGTGAGTGCTGTAAATTGACCATAAACAATTTACCGTAAATTGTATTAATTATTTTTACAGGTATATTATTATTTACTCAAAAAAATTTGTGTGGAACCTCTACTCATAATCAAATGCAATCAAAAACTCCAATACAATAATTATTATACAATCATATTCTCTATTTTATCGACACCGTATAATATAAGTGATAGTCAAAAGTAAATAAATTTAAATGTTTCGACTTTTGAATATAAAAAATAAAGGAAATGTTGTGTTGATTTTGATAAATTGATTAAAATTATTTATTAATTTTATTATGAATAACTAAAAATTCATAATATAAACTGATACAGAACAATGGCTCAATTTTTACTTTTATTGTTATTATTTGAAAGAACTAAATTTGTCAAGAATACACAAATCGTTAGAAATCCCGTTATTAGCTGTTAAGCTCGACATTTCTATTAAAAAAAACTGTGTTATTATACCTATATTATTTATTATATGTTTTGCTAACAATATGAACTACTTATGATTATTTTATAAATTTTTAACCACCGAAATATAGAGTTTATATTTTCCAAGATTTTGATTAATTTTAACTTTAATATGATAATAAAAAAAAATCGTGCAATGTATCTTTAATATTTTTACACTGCTATTAAACGATGCTTATGAGAAACATTTATTATATTTTCAAACATTTTTTAGTTAAAAATTACTTAGGTGATAATGAAAAAAATTTATTGACATCTAT